CTGTGATGCTCACTAGCGTATCTCAGACTTCTGGAGGGGATGTAGATTCGTAATAGTGAGTGGAAGTAGGCGGGTGCTGAGCCTGTGGCTGTTCTATATGCAAGCATCAATGTCTTGAACTTGATGCGAGCCGCAACCGGTAGCCAGTGCAAGGAGATAAAGAGAGGTGTAACATGGGCTCTTTTGGGCTCGTTGAAGACCTATGAATATCTATCTATGAATAAAACATCCAAGCATGTCATGGGTGAAATGTATTTTCATTAAAATCATGTCACAATGTCACAGTCCTATGGTCCTTAAAATAGGAGTTGTTTTGATGCAAAATATAATGTCTCATTTTTTTCTCTTTTGATTTGGGCTGAAATGTGACCTGGAAATGTTTTCTTCATTGAATACTTCCACAGAATTATTATATTGTATCTTGTATTATCAGGTATCTTTTTTTTTTTTAATCACGTTTTTTGGCTCCTATTGAATTTACAAGAGGTTATTTGTCCTGCGTTGCATGATTTTATTTCCAGAATGTGGAAAACAACATGTGAAAAATGAAGTGGCATGTAACTAAAATAGAACCGTCTGAACCATGACTCTGTTTTTGTTTTTGTTTTTCAAATGAAGGCTATCTTTCATGCTTTTTTTCCCTGTATTGCATATCTGAATAGTATTATTATATTGATCAGACTGGCGTTGGCAAGCTATAATGACAGCATCAGATGATACTATCGTGATTCTTTAATATATACAATGGTGCTGAATGATTACCATATATGCTTTAACCGTGGATCCATTTCACGTTTATGTAGTGCAGATATGCGGAGCGAGATGCCTCGGGACATCAGACACACTGTATGCACACAAACACACACTTCAACCTGTCGTCAGCGAGTCCGCGGCCAAGCAGACGTTCAGTCACACCTTTTAAAACCCATCTCACGCTCCCCACATGAAAGACTCTGCAGTGGCGCCACATGAAGAGCCGCCAGTCTTCCCAGAAGCTCCTTACATATATTAGCTATTAATTAATTGGGCATGTGCCAGAAATATGTTTTCGACGATAAATATAAGGGCAACATCAATGAAGACTCCTCTGTAGGTGTTTTTGCCTGTCAACCGTTTCATTTCTTTCTTCTTGTGTGCGTGGTACTGTGTATTTAAATCGATTTGCATTAGTCAGAGTTCTTCGCTGGCAATGAGGTGATGTTTGTGCTCGATTGGGTCAAATCCTGGGTCATTATGCCTGTGGTTATGAATATTATAAAGCAGTCTCAACAGTTTCAATAGATACATTTCTTTAGATAAATAGAAAATTTCTCCAAAAATGAAAATTTGCTCACCCTCAGGCCATCCAAGATGTAGATGAGTTTGTTTCCTCAACAGATTTGGAGAAACAGTCCATCAATTAATGTCTTGTGAAGTGACGTAGTTCACCCAAAAAAAATAGAAAAAGAAAAATCATTTATTCAACCTCCTGACATTTCAGTCTGAAAATCTTCCCTGTAGCTCTCACTGTTTTTAGAATTTAATATTTTGAATTAGCTTTTATTTTTATATTTTCATATTAAAATGTTTATATTTTATATTTCTATTTAGCTTCTTTTTTTGTAGTTTTAGTGATTTCAATACTTGTATTTTAGTTAGTAGCTTAGGCAACATTCTTTTTTATTTTAATTTGATTTCTTTAGTTGTTTTGTTATTTCTATGTAGCTTTATTTTTATTTCAGTTGTAGTGTTAGTAATTTTAGTACTTTTATTTGAATTAGTTGCCAATACAGCATTTCAAATTTTTGTGTATTTTTTTTTAAGATCAAGTTTTTCATCTATTTGATTTTTCTGCTTAATTTCAATTAACAAAACAGATTTATAATAGTTTTAGTTTAAGCTTTATTCAACAATAACAACTCTCATCTCAAATCTTTGATGTCAAAACTGACAGCACATTTTGAAGTAGCATATTGCAGTGTACACAAATGCAAATCATTTTATGACAGAATAGGTGAAGACTTTCAGCAAATAACTCAAATTTCTGTTTTTAAAGAACGTGTTTTTTTGGGGGGGTTTGTTTTTAAAGAAACACATCCAATTAGGGTCATGTGGGGTCAAAAACCTGCCTAATTATACAGGGCTTCCTTAAGACTAATTAGTTTACTAAATCAGTTCAGTTAACCCAGCGACTGGTTGATTTAGAAAATATATAGTTTTACACATCCCTAGTTCACATTCACTTTCATTTTATGGAAACAAGCAGCATAGACAGTTCAAAACATCTCTTGTGTTCCATAGAAGAAAGTTAGGTAGGAACAACATGAGGGTGAATAAATGATGACAGTTTTTTTTTTTTTTATGTGAGTGAACTTTCCCTTTAAGAGTGTAGATATATTAAACTATTATTTATTTAAACATCCAGTGGCTTTTTCGACCCCACAGCACAATCGATTTGGTTCATTTTTGGTTGCGTTTTCTCAGTGTTAATAATTGATGTTGTAATATTTCTCTGAAATCTGAAATAATGCCTGAAATCACACACTGCTGTGTTCCCCGTGTCAACAATGCTCATGCTGTCTATTTATGACTGTGTTCTGTTTGCTTTTCTCCTTCCACACATCACTCATCTATCCCGCAGAGCCCAATCTAAAAACCCGTCAGAATCGCCCGGTGCCGTCCTCTCCACTCTCTTTTCGGTTTGTTGTGACTCGTTACAGACATGTTTGCCTCATCTCTCCGGGAGATGGACTCTGTCCAGCTTGAGTTCTGCAGCGTATCGTCCCTGCGGCAATCAGACCAAACAAAAACACGCACTCGTGCTCTTCCATGTGGGGACTGATAGTGAACATCTGGGATCTGGTTGAAATCAGAACAACTTATTCAAGTCTGGTATCACCAAATGAGGAGGTCATTTAGATTTGCATGAACGTTTTTTTGGCAAGCTGCATAATTTTTTTTTTCTCAATGGGAGGAAAAAGACATAAATAGTCAGATTAACAATAGAGAACTAATGATGAGAGGAGAATATTATGTCCTCACTGAGACACAGAGATGTGTATCTTACGGCCTTTTTTCATGTTTTTACACAGGTGACCTGCAACTGCTTCAGCATCAGTGATGGAGAGCTGCAGGACGTGGGGGTGGGACTTTACCTCAGGTGAGTGACATGATCGACATCCCAGCATGCTTTGCACTGAACATAGATTTGTTGTGGACATTATTAGTGCTAGTGCTAAGAAAAGTGTCACTGTTGATATTGTTCATACTTAAGGTTAGTAATCAAAGAAAATCATCATACAATTATTAATTATTACATACAATTAAGAATATTAAAAAAATTATTACATAAAATAGAAATACGTTGTACTTGAAATTAATGAAAATTATTGCATATATTGCTGATTATTAAATTATATAAAATGTTAATATATATACAATATGATTAAATTATACCAGATGATTGACATGAGGGACATCCCAGCATGCCTTGCTCTAAACCTATAAAAAAAGTTATTACATAAAATAAAAATTAAATAGTACTAAAAATGAATTGAAATGATAAATTTAATTCATTTTAATTCATATAAAATTATCTTAACAGACCAGTTATTTCGTAGCACGAAATAAGACAACTGTATCAGTAAAAAGCATGCTTGAGATTAAATATTAAAAGGGGACTTCAGAAAATGTATTTTAATTTTACGTTTGCAGTTTGTAGCACAGTACATTCATTGTCTTCATTTTTTCATCACTATAAAATGACTTTACCCATAATGCTCTTGTGTTTCAGTCAGTTGAGGCACTGTTCTTGTTTTCATGCTCACCGTGCCCAGCAGATTTGTGTAACAGAAAACATGTTTGTATTATTAGCTCTGCAGTCATAAAGAGGCATTCTGACATGAGTTAGGATTACATGCTACGATTTGCTCTCTGCTACTGAACACGCCTGAGGGAAGCTCCCATTCACACACCGAGGAGCTGAAGGAAACGCAGCACAAGAAACGGGAATAATTACACATAAACAGACATTCGGCTTTCAATGTGACTAAATTACAACTTGCCGAGACACATTGTGAGCGCTGAAATAGAGGGGATTTCCTCTGCAAATTGCTTTGTATGCATTTGTGAGAATCTTCTGGGCTGAAATGCATCTCATAAGCATATCGTATGCCGATGCTGAAAAACACTATATAAAGCTTTCTGATGGAGAATGACTTGTTTAGTATTGGTACATTAGAAATGTGCAGTGTTAATGGTATATATAATGCATGCAAAATTCTCTGAAATAATCTATACAGCTATATTTTTGATGGGTCTGTCTTACACAGAAATGTCAGGAACTGTATCTGTGCTTTTTTTTGGTCCTCTCTTTTTTTCTCTCTATTTTCTTGTAGAGGGGGATAGCAATTAAAATGTGACAGGCCAGTGTCAGTGCAGCAGTCCCGTCACACTCTGCCTTTGAGGCAGTGACAGGGCCGAGACCCAGAGATGAACTGCTCTTAAATTACACTTTTATCAGCGCTGATGTCTTTCATAATTAATCTTCATGCCCACAGTTGTCACCATTTGCAATGTTTTTCACCTACAGATGAGCTCTAGATGGGGTCATGATGGTACAGTGGAATTTCCCGTTACTAAAGGCCTATTAAAATGCAACCCAGTGGTGTTTCTTCAAGATGGCATGGAATGACATTCACAAAGCATTCAGCTTCAGTGATGTGGCATAATTCAGATGAAGTAGAATATTTGCTAGGACACAATGCAGTGCAAGGCTTGATTTTATCCACTGGGATTTGATTGTTAAATGTTAGGCTGTGATATTATTAGTGGATTTTCTAAGGCAGGTATTGTTTCTACATCTCTAACCCTAAGTATAGTAAACTTTGGTGTATTAAACATAAATCTTGCACAGTTTATGCTACAGACCTGAATGATTTGTCAAATTATGTGGCAATAAAATGAGTGAAAAAAATCCCCAGATCACCCTATAGCAACCATATAATGTTATGCTAAAAACCATGCAGACCACCTTCAGTTCTTCAAAAAATGAAAAAAAAAAAAAGTTTTCTTTATTTAAAAAAAGTAATGTAATATGTGATTTGAGGGGACATTATAATAAAAAAAATTATGAATATATTATAAATTAATAACTTTTATTTAATCTACGATATTCAAATATAACTAAAATATATATTTGAATATATATATATGAATATATTAAAATGAGAAATATATATATTTAAAAAAAAAACAGTATAAACATAAAATTAGTGAAAAATTCCCCAGATCACCCTAGCAACCAAATAACAATATGCTAAAAAAACACACAGACCACCTTTAGTTCTTCAGAAAATAAAAATAAAAAAGTATTGCTTTAAGTATAACACTTTTCTTAAAGGCTTTATGTATAATGCATTATGAAAGTAGTTGTAATGCATTAATTATGTCTTGTAATGCACCTTATAATGCATTGTATAATCTCAAGAATAATTGTAACCACAGTTAATACATTATAACACTTATCAAGTCATTGTTACACTATGCATTTCAAATGTGGTTATACTACTAGCTATATGTAGGTAGCACTGAGGTAGCAATATTTTATATTTTTTCTCTTTTTGCTTGAACATTGAACAGTGCATACATTTATAAACAATAACCGGGTGTTTTATCCCTGTCTATTTTTATACATGACATGTGACACGCACTGTCAGTTTCTCTGCTCTGCTGCCTAATGGGAGAGCATATTGTGGCGTGTTTAAGTCATCAGCCGAGGCGACTCCAGTGTAACACTTGTTCTCTGGCTGGATGTGAACCAGCGGTTTTCTGCTAATCCCTGTGGTTGTGTCTGGCGCTCGCAGGAGGATTTGTGCTGTCAGACGTCCTCCCTGGCCAGGACTCCATACTGACACTCACAGCCCCGTCCGGACACGGTTATCAGGGGAAGAGAGTGTATATGCAGTGCCCAAATGAAGCTCCAGCAAACCCGTGGCCGGCAGTCTGTTGTGCTGTGGCCTGACAAAACCCAGCAGCAGAAATCCATAAAGATTTTATAGGCGCCCAACCGCATGCAGACGCTGTCATCCGTGAAACCCAGGAACGTTTGTGACTATTTGTTTCCCACTTTAACACCCCATTCAGGCCTTGGAAATAGTGAGGGATAATTGGGTGTTTCTTTAGCAATGGCCACATTTTAAGGTCCCAGGGGTTTATTAAAGCTAACAGAAACTATTAAAAATAATTTTTATTCTATTTGTTATATGAAACTGACTATTATGTGATTATATCCTTTTTCTGACTTTAAATCTTAAAGTTCTATCAATCTTAAAAAATATTAAATATTAAAATATTTATATTATTTTATTTTTATATCATTTTAAAATATTTATTTATTTTATTCTGTTTATGATTAATTAATCACAGAAATGAAATTAATATTTGAAAATAATTATAAGAAAAATAAGTGTTACATTTAAAAAAAAAAACTTGTGATCATCTAAAAAAAGCAATTTAAGTATTTATTATTGTATGAAATGTATTTATATTAATTTTTTTAATTATAACTGTCCCTGTATTGTAGTTGTTGTTTTAAAATTTTCAACCATTTCCAACCAATACTTTTGTAATTTGTAAAGTTTTATTAAATTTTAGTGTACTAAGTGACACAGCAGCATCAGTGAAGAGCTTGAGATTAAATATGAGACAAGTATTGTGTGAGGAAAACTTTAAGGTAAAATTTGCTGTAATTTTAATTTGCATAATTTCCAACAACCTGTTATTTTGTCTAATTATGCAAAAAGAAAGAACATTTTTATTTATTTTAATATTTATCCATGTATCTTTTATTAATTAATTAATTAATTAATTTTATCTGTACATATTTAATTTATTATAAATTTGTGTATTTATTCATTTATTCATTTATTTATTTATTTTTTATTCAGGATAAATTCTTAGTGAGATAAAGGACTGCCGTTTTATTCCAAAAATGTCTAAAATGTCATTTCCGCCACTGTAATTTCCATCACAAAATAACAAAATATATAATTTGAAATGTAATGGGAATATTCTCTGTTCATACAGACGTTTCAGAACAGTGTAAATAAATGGCAATGCATGTATAAACACTGAAGCAGACAAACTAAACTAGTCTGAGTGTGTTTTAAGAGAGTTTATTAATAGAAGTCCACACACAGGGCCAAAAGCAGTTAGCACTAAGTAGGTGATGTTGACATAATTTCCTTGTATCAGTTGCGTCAGTCTGGGCTGTTGTGAAAGTGCAGTAAATTGAGCTGTATTCAGGTGTGAGAGTGTGCCAGGAACAGCTTTCCTTTCTGTTTTCCGGCACAGTTAATGGCCACCTTCGACACTGTTATTTGGAAACATTAATAAATGAGCGCAGCGGATTGCTATTCTCCTTGTCTGTTGATGTTTCAGGCTGCTTAGCAATACTTATGTTTTGTAGAAGGTAGAAGATAAGAGGAATTCATCCCATTGTCCTCCATTTTCTCTCATTACCCAGCTCTGTTTACCGTTATTTCATTCTTTCGCTCGTCTTCTGTTGACAGAGCACGGCGCTTACGGCTACAAGCACAGACTCGCTTTAACGAGATATATTTTCATTACTTAGAAACCACATGTAAAGATTGAGTTTAGGCCCATGTGTGTAAGTGAGGAGCGTCGGGCTCTTAGGGGCTGTTTATGGGTGAATAATCAAAAGCGCAGATTAAGGGAGGATCATAAAAGAGGGTTTCACTCAGGTTAAATAGTCTGCTTTGAGCTTAATGTCTTGTGTATGTGCAGACAAGGGCTTAGCTAACAGCTATTTTCTGACAGCATTGATCAGCTCAAATTGGTCACATTTTTTTGATATGGCTTAACAGAGGCATGTCTTGGAAAACAGGATTTTCTTTGCTCTTTTAAAATAAAAGAGTTCAATCTGCTTTGAAAGCTAATGCAACACAAAGCTCCACCCGGGCCATTTATGGGAACTAAGCTGCAAAATTTGTTCAATTAGAACTCAGACATCATAAACATATGCACGTTAACATATGCCCGCCCACATTTATACATCAACACCTGTTCAACTATGCAGCAACTTGTCTTTATGATGAAAAACAGTGTGAACTGCTACTACATGGAGATTAGACAACCATAACAGATGCCGTTTACATATAGAAGTCTTAAAGGTACAGTAACTGTACAGTAGTTTAATATGACCAGAGAGAGGGTGGAAAAGGGTAATGTAAAACTAAATTATGTCTAGTTTTGGTGCATAATTTTAGATTTACCAATATTGAATTTTGTATTAGTCGGTCACTTTAAAATAACTTTAATCAATTGAAAGTTATAATTGAATATTTCTATAATTTAACTGAATAATTGAATACCCCAAAAAAGGATATTTTGTAAGTTTTTACTTACTCTCATGTTGTTTCAGACTCTTATGATTTTATTTTAATTTTTTAATTTTTAATTTTATTATTATTATTATTATTATTATTATTGGTGTATTTATTTTTTTTTAAATTAGCTTTTATTATATTTATTTATAATAATAATATATAATAATGTTATAATAATTACAGTTATGTGTGTGTGTATAATTTATATATTATGCATTTATATTGTCCATTATTTAATGCAAAAGTTAAATCCACATACATTTAATTATTATTATTACTTGCTTTATTTAAATTTCACTTTCTTGAATTTAAGTGAACTCCTTTCTGTTGTTTAATATTTTGGATTATGAACAATCAAGTTTTATTAAAATGCAAATGAGCGTCATTTGATTTCATTTGATTTTGACTTTTGATTTGATTTAATTTATTATTTTTAGTATAATAGTTGGCTTTATTAATAATGGAAATGCACTGACGTGTGAATCTTGATCATTAGAGATCAGAGGGTGTGGCCTGTTGCCATGGTCTTTCCACAAGTCCATTTCATTGGCTAATAATCCAATAATTTGTGCTGGCTAATCATGGGAGATTGCATTATTTTGGTCTTTCTAACATATCAATTTATGAAAAGGGAGCAAAATATCTCAGTTTTAAAGAAAAAAATGTCTTCAGAAATATCTAGAACCAGCCTCCCTGTGTGGGCCATTAAACTGGCATGACTTCCATATTCAACATCCATGGGAAACATTTTGCATCTATGAATATGAGCCTCTGGGATTACAGTGAACAAACAAAACCAGAAAGGCAGATGTTGAAATTGTTGTTTAGATATGAGCTATGAAGTCTTCAGATCGGATGTGAGGCAGAATCAAGGCTTCAGACATGGTTGTCGACGTCTCAGAGAAATTATAATGACGCAGATAGATTGTCCCGTGAGAGCGGGGCCCATCTGTTTACCATCGGCTGGGTGGGCCGACTCTAAGCCTGCTTTATACTCTGTACTTAGGCGATGTTGAATCTTTCCTAGACCATGACAAACACAAGTAATTTGTTGCTCTGGCTTTTTGAATGACTTCCGATGCATTAGCAGAAGCCTGGAAGAGCCGGATAGCATGTATTCCTATCCACATATAAAGGATAATTGTGCTTTCGTGCTAGATTTATAATTGCTGTGTTTGTTCTGTCATACTTGTGTGAATGTGAATGGAGTACAAGCTGACATGAAGAAACTTCAAACATAGTTTACACACACAATACATACTGTATACGCACCTTGTATTGTTCATTTTAAAATATGTTGCATTAATTAATCATTAAATTAATATTTTACGCAATTTTTTTTTTTTTTTGACTACATAACATTTTGTCATTTTTGGAGCTAGGCTTTATACATCACTGTACACTTTCTTAGGAACATAGGTGAAAAATATCTACTTTTGTGTTCCACATAATTAAAAATGTATTTAAAAAAAAAAGGAAATAATTAAAGGGGTCATATGATGCTACATGCACTTTTACAAGTTGTTTGAACTGAAATGTGTGTTGGCAGTGCGTGTACACAACCATCGTATAATGATAAAAATCCACCCAGTGTTTTTTTTTTTCATCTGGTTAAATGTTTTCCCATTTCTCAAATCGAGCCGATCTCAGATGCCTGTCTGTGTGAAAAAAAAACTTAGAAATCTTACTGATCCCAAACTTTTGAACCATAGAGTAAACCATAGTGTCTAATATAATCAGTAATAAAAAAAATGCATTTACATTACATGTACTGTATGTACATATATTGGAAGAATTACTCATTTAAACATATTGTTTGTCCAGGTGCATGTTTGTAAATTCAAAAATAACAATTGTAAATTTCCAATGTGCTGTCAGCATCCATATACGTCACTAACAGTGTCAGCAGTGATGATCTCACCTTAAAGGACAAGGGTCTTGAAAAGATCATCAGTGTCGTTCCATTGCTGTCATTCTCACCCTGTCGCTTTCGGTTTTGACTTTGCTGTTAAAGGCGGCAGGTTACATCAAATCGCATTTAAGAGGACAAATGCCCCGCTGGCAAACATGTCTGCTTTTTTGTTTTCTGTGTCTCCAGACTGTAGCAACTTGTTTCTTTAGTTAATTAATTAGTGATGCCCGATTTACTGTATGTTCCATTATTTAGCAGTCCTTGTGTATTATTTATTTGGATCAAGAGAAAATTGAGAGAATGTGGGATTTGCAGTTTGATTTGATCTCAGTGTTTGATGAGGAAAAAACAATTAAAATATAATAATTCATTTAATTAGAAAAATAGAATTGTTGTGAGTTTTGACAGGCTGAACTAAATTCACCACCTTTGGGTCTTATTTGTCAAATCAGTCTGGGTTTGTGCAAACAACAGAAAAAAAACATAATGTTATTTAATATAATATTATTTTAATACTAATTAACAAATCATTGGCAGAGCACTCTGTTTTACATGGACAAGAATTAAATCTAGTAAAGTGAATTTTACTCTTACTCTTGTAGTTTAGCAGATGTTTATCTAAAGCGACCAGCCTCTGTCCTAAAACCTTACTAGTCCCGAAATGTATCCTCATGAAGGCCTAATTAAGGATGAGAAATTCATTGAGACACTGTGCTGGTGAATTGTGCTTAAACATGGTTGAAGAGTTAGTTTTGTGTTCGTCTGTCCCAGCATGTCTCTGCTGAACCACGACTGCCAGCCCAACTGTGTCATGATCTCTGAGGGCAAGCGACTCACGCTGCGAGCTGTTCGGCTCATCAGACCCTGTGAGGAGGTACAGTATACTTATTTTCTGCCTTTTTTCTAGTCTCTCTCTCTCTCTCTCTCTCTCTCTCTCTCTCTCTCTCTCTCAATGTATGTCATTTTTCTCCTGCCTTGACCCAGGGATCTTTAAATGATAAGCATGGGTCTCTGCTGTCACAGGGCCCTGGACAACATTACCAGTTGCCAATTCGTTATTATTATTTTAGCCATTTCTGCAACACCAAAATTGAATTTTAATAATGACTTTTCAAACAGGTTTTCCAAACACAAAGTTTGGATTTTTAAATGAATTCTTACTCTATTATTCTTAGTCCTGCCTTGACCCAGGGATCTTTAAATGATAAGCATGGGTCTCTGCTGTCACAGGGCCCTGGACAACATTACCAGTTGCCAATTCGTTATTATTATTTTAGCCATTTCTGCAACACCAAAATTGAATTTTAATAATGACTTTTCAAACAGGTTTTCCAAACACAAAGTTTGGATTTTTAAATGAATTCTTACTCTATTATTCTTAGTTGTAATTTAGTTTTGGAATGATTGTTTTATCATGTTTTTAATTATGCTTATTTTTATTAATTAATTTTTATTTTCATTATATTTTGTTATATATTATAGTGTGTGTTTATATATATATATATATATATATATATATTAGTTTAGTATATATTTTTATGTACTGTATGTGTAGTTAGTTTTGGAGTCTTGAAAATGTGTTTTAGTTTATTTAAATATTTTAGGGTTAATTTTAATTTTAATTTTTATTTCTGATAACAAATGATTAAAATACATTAAAGTTTTGACTTTTTTAAAAAAATTTAATTCTCACGTTATGTTAGTTCTAATTTAGTTTTATGTTTTTTATTATGTTTATTTGTATTTTTAGTTATATTTAGTTTAGTATACATTTAATTAGTATATTATTTAATTTATTTTAGTTTAGCATATATTTTTGATTAGATTTAGTTAGTTTTGGAGTCATGAAAATGTATTTTAGTTTTAGTTTATTTAAATATTTTAGTGTTAATTTTTATTTTTATTTCTGATAACAAATGATTAAAATACATTAAAGTTTTGACTTTTTTTTTTAATTAATTCTCACTTTATGTTAGTTCTAATTTAGTTTTATGTTTTTTATTATGTTTATTTGTATTTTTAGTTATATTTAGTTTAGTATACATTTAATTAGTATATTATTTAATTTATTTTAGTTTAGCATATATTTTTGATTAGATTTAGTTAGTTTTGGAGTCATGAAAATGTATTTTAGTTAAAAAATTTTCCCAGTAATGTTAATTTTTGTTTTTAATTTCTATTTCCATTAAGGAAAATGTTTTCATTCAGTTTTTGTTAGTAATAATAATAACACAGTCTCCTACCCCAAACTCACTCTATGCGTTGATTGAGCCAAAAGTTGCGATGTCAGGCCGCTCAAATAAACATAGTAATATTTTCATACTGCCATGGAGCCACAGTGTTTATACATTCAGCCCACAAATAGCTTCCTTGCAGTTGTCTGTTCATATTAAACTGGAACAGGAGAAAGTGTTTTAACTGCCATTGAATTACACACATCACACCACAGTTTCTCAAGTGCAGGCACTTAACGGAGCCTCCTGCCAGATTAACTTCACCATAATTCAGTCATCCGATGAATAAATCTAAAAGCAACATCCTATATGTACATTTACTGCATTTAGCATCCGCTCTTATTCAGAGCATCCTGCAGAACTCTTTAACAATCAGTCAGGACTAATCGAAGCTCATTTAAACCTATTTGCACACATCCGACCCACCACCAGCCTGAAAAACCAGCAGAGAGCCAAGATATGCATACACATTATTCATAGCACTTAACACCTGAATCCATTTGGCAGATCTGTGGCGGGATGTGGTTTTTAGCCTCAAAGATAGAGAAACTCTCATTATGCGGCCGTTCTGTTTATTTCTGCTCTGAAAGTTTAGATATTCCAAAGTAAATCAGGCAGTCATGCTTAATTTACCTCTGGCAGGGGGAGGGAACGTCGAGAGAGGAAGTGAACTGGAAAATGAAATTACCAGCAAGCTCTCTGTACACAGGAAGTAATGAGAATTCAGACTATAGGTGTACGATATACGACGGCAGAATACATGAGTGCTCATCGTCCCACAGACTCTGTTTACAAACACACAAACACACACTCACGGCGCGATTATCATTCATACACCCACACACATCTGCACACTGTACACACGCCGCTGTTTGCCCATAAGTGTCATACTCATTTTGGATCTGTTTTTCGTTTTCTCCTTTTCCTGTTTCTGTTGCTTTCTCTGTTTACTCATTGTTTCTAGTTTTATGTACCTATCTGAAGTAATGAGAATTCAGACTATAGGTGTACAATATACGACGGCAGAATACATGAGTGCTCATCGTCCCACAGACTCTGTTTACACACACACAAACACACACTCACGGCGCGATTATCATTCATACACCCACACACATCTGCACACTGTACACACGCCGCTGTTTGCCCATAAGTGTCATACTCATTTTGGATCTGTTTTTCGTTTTCTCCTTTTCCTGTTTCTGTTGCTTTCTCTGTTTACTCATTGTTTCTAGTTTTATGTACCTATCTGCCTCTCTCTCTCTCTCCACTCAATAACTCATTCATTGGAATAACTGTTTTCAATTCTCTCTCGCTCTCTGACCTCACAGAGGTTTGGAAATGAAATAGCTTTCTGCATACTGTGCTGTGTATACTGCTTGCTGCATACTATTTTTTGTAGATAACAGGTGAAACAGTATGCAAATAAATGTTTACAGTAGTAATATGCTACATTGTTGTCACATGACTTTACTACATTGCATATTTAATTCATTAAACGGTGTCCAGCTATAATCTTGGATATAAATGTGGTTATTTCACATATTTCATCCAGTTTTAAGGAAAAAATGCCTTAACTTTTGGCGTTATGATCAAATGAGTCAAGAAGGTGATATTCAAAATCATGGTCGATGTTGCTTATGATTCATTTGTCATGCTAGACTGATAAGGTAAAAAAAAGAGTTACTAAGATTTTAAAAGAAAAAATTGTAATGAGTATATTTTTAAGTTAATTTTTCCCATTTGTAGTATATTTTACAATATAATACTATATATATATATATTGTGATATTAATATGTGATTATGTGGGCACTTTATGCATTTCTTTGAAAAATAACAGATAGTATGTAACTCCAAACACACCCGTAATTGGATGTACTTATAGAAAGCGGTAAATAAATTGTGTATGTCAGCTCTGTTAACAGCCTGGAAGATGGTTGAACACATAAACACAAACATGCACAATAAAGCAATGCATTGTTTACATCCTGCAGAATTGGACCAAAGGGAAAAGACCATGTGGTTTTCAAATGTTAGCTCAGCAGGCAGACTTTCATTATTCAAGCCAAAACTGCCACAAGAAATTGGCTACGTTCCGAACCCTAGTGAGCTGCCTGTGTAACACAGTCATTGTGTTTATTGTATTTCCCTCTTAGATTCTGCTAGTTGTCTGCGATTTTTCATTTAACCATCTCTAATCTCTCTTTTTCATTCTCTTTAGCTCACTATAAGCTACACTGATATCCTTGCGACCAGCAAAGAGAGACGTTCCCATTTACAGGAGCAATACCACTTCCTGTGTCAGTGCACGCGCTGTACCACGGAGGACAAGGTGAGCCATAGCAACAGCCTCTCAGATCTATCTTTCCTTCCTTTATCCTCATTTTTCTATTCCTCTCACTTTCACCCCATCACTCCTGGAAAAGGCTTCTCCCCGCCTCGTTGTGTCCTGGCGGGATCACTATCTATCATCCCTGTTCTCCTCCATGTTCTCTCTTCCTCGTTCTTTTGCTCTGTGTCTGTCCCACTCAGCCCTCGAAAGCATCTGATGATGTGTCGAGTGTGTCAGACCGGTCCTAGACCATCACCGGTCTCTCCGCACTGCCCCGGGGAGCCCGTCCTCAGCAGACCCTGTTATCTGTGATCATCACTGCGATGACAGGAGCATGTCAAGAATAACGCTTTGGATGGCATGAATGGGAGTACAAGAGAGCGGATGAATAAATGGAGTGAGGAAAGATGGGAATTTAAAGGTGAAGTGTGTCATTTTTTGGATGTTAAAATACTTTCTTCTCCATACTTAGTCTGCACAAACTACTCTGAGTAAACCATTTGTATGTTGATTCCCAGAGAACTGTAAAGACTCATTTTTTCACTTCCATTTGGTGGAAAAATCCATTTCCATTTCTTTACAGCTGTTTCTAAACTAGGCTGTGTCCCAATTCACATACAGTCCATCCTAAATAGTATGCAAGATTAGAGTTAATGCATCCCGGACCGGACATTAGACAGTTTTAAGTAGTTGTTAAAAACCCATCTTTTTCAAATTGCCTATATAGATTCGTATTTTGTTGTATTGGTTAGCTGTACTGTTTAGTATTGATTTATTGTTTTATATTGCTACAGAATTTTGGTATTTTATTTGTTTTATTTTTTGTTTGTAGTGCAAAAAGTGCATAATAAATAAAATGTATTATTATTATTATTATTATTAGGTGTTTTCAGTGGGTTTTCAGGACATTTTGGGATTTGGTTTTTAAATATTATTTATTATCATTTAATTTAACATGTTTTATAATATTTTATAAAAACAATAATAATAAACTTAATATTAAATGTGTGTGTGTGGGAGCATGTATGGATAGATAGATAGATAGATAGATAGATAGATAGATGTTAATTAAAAATGCATTTTTAACATTTTAAACAAATTTATAATTGTTATTATTATTTTACATATTAGGATTATTAAGAGCTATCTGGTAATTACTACCACTGTTTTTATAATAATAATAAATATTTTTATTATTAAGATTAGTTGATTAGTTTTTTATTATTATTATTCTTTCAGTATTCTTCTCTGTATTCATTATTCTTTCATAATAATAATAATAATAATAATAATTATTATTATTATTATAAATTGTGTTTCTTTATTATTATTATTCTTTCAGAATTTACACACTTCACCTTAAAAGTATAATTCACCCAAAAAATTAAAATATGATTATTATTTTCTCACCCTTATTTTGTTCTAAACCTATTTGAATTACTTTTTTTTCTGCAGAACACAAACAAAAATATTTAGAAAAATGTCTCTGTGGGTTTTGCTCATACAATGAAAATCAAAGTGGTCTAGTGTTATTTTGGACCCCACTGACTTGCAGTGTATGGACAAAAGCATTTTTGAAAATATCTTCATTTGTATTTTACAGAACAAAGAAAGTCATACAGGTTTGGAATGACTTGAGTACATGATTTAAATTTTTGTCTGAACTATCCCTTTAAATGCATTATGAATGGCATACTGGATTTTTGGCATGTGTGCTCAAACATGTCACTGGAATACACAAGTTCCCTCCAGGCTTATGTTGTGGTTATTTTGCACCTGCATGCAGGCATACCATGCTAAATAACTCAAGAGAAAGAGGCTTTATCCCTGCTGTTAACACCTACACAGCTGCTCAGACTGACCTCTGCTTGAGTCATCTGTCAGATACTGCAGATAAGAATAAACGCTCTTGCTCAGGGCTGCTGAGATGGAGACTTGGGTTTCATCCCTGCTTTCAGTACCTTCTGGGTCTGAATCCAAAACAGTGGAAGCTTTTTGAGCTTAGTTTTTTAGGTCTGGATTTTAGGACACCTGATATGTGTGGTACAAACTCTTTTCATCCACCCATCAGTTTGTCTTTCCACCTATCCATCCATCAATCAATCAATCAATCAATCAATCAATCAATCAATCAACCAACCAACCAAATGTAAATCATTTAAGTGAATCGAGGTCTCTGCCTTGGCACCAGAATATTGTAGAGACTTGAGTATTATGGAAATACTAATTTAATATAGAATTGAAAATAAAAATTATTTTCTTAATGCATGTTATTTAATGTTTACTTATTGTAAACAATTCATCCATGCATATATTATTGTTCAGAAATTTGGGATTTGTAAAAAATAATGCTGTGTTTTTGAAAAAAAAGATCTCTCACAAATGCTTCATTTATTTGATCAAAAATACAGTAAATACACTAATATTGTGTAATATTATTGTAATTTAATATAACATTTAAAAAAATAATTTATTTACGTGATGCAAAGCTGAATTTTCAGCATCATTACACCAGTCGTCAGTGTCACATGATCCTTCAGAAATATGCTGATTTGCTGCTCTAGAAACATTTATTATTATCAATTTTGAAAACAGTTGTGCTGCTTAATATTTTTGCGGAAACAGTGATACATTTTTTTCAGGATTCTTTGATGAATAGAAAGTTCAAATGCACAAACTTAATTTGAAATATAGTCTTTTGTAATATTGTAAAAATCTTCACTTTACTTTTGATCAATTTGTTGCTTGACGCATCCTTGCTGAAAAAAAAATATATATCATTTTTTTTTAAATTTTTTATACAGACCCCAAACTTTTGAACGGAAGTGTTTATAATATTTACTTAATTTTTGGACTTATAAAGTACAATAAAAATCTAGTTTGAGTTTTTCTCCTGTGTTTTTGTTGTTCAGCACATTTCCCGTCATCACACTCCATCAAAGCCCCTCATTGTGTGTGTGTGTGTGTGTGGAGGGGGTGCATGAGGTAATTGCAGGTGAGATGTGTAAAGTGTTACACTGATGACATTCTGATGAGAGGGACTTGGTGATTCACTACCAGCTTTGCGGTAATCTGACAACCGTGTGAGTGCAATAAGACATACTGACACGCTAAAACAATAGAGCAGCTATGCAGTAAAAAGTGCAGTAAAGTACATGGAGGGATGGTCAGGTTATCACCTTCCCAGAACCTCTGGCGACCGGATATGTAATTCAGTCTGACAGTCGTGTGGGGGGTCACAGATGTTCTTCTGTTCATGAAGGCTGTCTGGCCATACATTTCTCTGTTTTTTTGAGTGTTTCAGTGTTCAGTGTTCTTTCACATTTGCACCATGTGAAATCCTCACCAATGAATCCTCTGCAGTGAATGGGTGCCGTCAGAATGGCAATAATCCACAAGTACTCCACCGGAGGTTAACTGATGGACTGGAGTGGTGTGGATTACTTGTGGATTATTGTGATGTTTTTATCAGCTGTTTGGACTCTCATTCTGACGGCACCCATTCACTGCAGAGGATCCATTGGTGAGCAAGTGATGTAATGAAAAAACAAACTCATCTACATCTTGGATGTAGATTTTTTATAAATGTTATGTTTTCATTTTTGTGTGAACTATTCTTTCAGTGTGTCCCAATGGAGGTGCTGGGGGTCTGCAGAAAATGTTATTAACAGAAAAAAAGTTCACATGTTATGTCAACAAATCAATTGGAATTAACATTTTAAACTATTATTATTATTATTCCTTTTTAACATTCTGATTTCCGAAGACTGTCTTCTGAAGATTAATTGTAATTATTTTATTCACCTGTATATAATATTTTTTTCAACACCTTTTTTTGTAGTTTATAGTTTTTCTGTTTGATTTTTTCTGTACTTAAATGTACACACACACACACACACAACCTGTATACAGATATTCGCTGAAAAATCTTGCACATTCATTTTTATCTGGTAGATTTTTGACAATTCTGCATGTTTTCTTAATATATCCTCATGAAGTATGTACTTTTGCCAGCAAAGTGCTTTTAATCTGTAGTCGGAATATATGAGGGATACATTTGCTAAAGCGTTAGACTTCCTGTCATGCTTTGTTCACTGGAATGTTTTATACTCAGTGCACTCTAAACAGTGCTGCAATGAATAACATGATTATTGAATTTACACTAATAAACAAAGTCTACAATTTGATTCCTGGCCCTCTCCCTGTAATCAGGCTGTTCACATTAACAAGAAAATGGCTTTTTCATTGAAAAGAAGAAGCAAATAGAAAAGTATTTCCTTTGTGTTAGCAGATGTATAATTTCATGCTTCAAAGCTATTTTATAACTATAGAGATTTGACCAGAATGTAAAATGGATTCTGACATAATGTGCAGGTAAAAAGACTGTTTGTTTTGTCTGATGTCAAAACCTGCAGAGGGTTTGGTGTGATTGACAAGATGCAGCATGTTTACCATGTTCATCAATAAGTGATTTCATGTGCAGTTATGAGTTTTATTAGTGATTTCCAGAGTAGAAGCAGAGGATTGTGGTCCGGTGGAGACTTCAGCATTCATTGGCGGATGGCCTGCGGGTTTTTGGCCTCTCATGACATGCACATATCTCTCTCCTGCATTTCACTCGATCTGATAAATCATTTATGTATGGATTGAGTGCACTGGAACAAAAACACATAACAGGACACTTCGTACAGCTTACTGTGAATATCTGATTCCATTTGGTCTCTACAAAATTACATTTAGTCTTTATGAAATACTTCCTGCAGTAAGGTTAATGCTTTTATGCATGTTTATGTGGGATACAAATATATATATTTTTTTTTTACTTTTCTTTTCTTTTTGTCCCATTCATACATACAGTGGGTACGGAAAGTATTCAGACCCCCTTAAATTTTTCACTCTTTGTTATATTGCAGCCATTTGCTAAAATCATTTAAGTTAATTTTTTTTCCTCATTAATGTACACACAGCACCCCATATTGACAGAAAAACACAGAATTGTT